TGGTCCTCTCTTCCTCTCGCTATGAAGCGCGCGGAGCCCTGGGGCTCTCTTACCTGCTGAGGACTTGGGGTACATCCTGTGGAAAAACAAGAGGAAGGCGTAGAAGGTAAAGGCCAAGCCTCCAAAGACCATCCCACAGACCAGGAAACTGTAGCTGCCCTGATCATGTATAATCTGCAATTAAAAGGGGGAAAAGGGAGCAGATGTGTCATCACAGCCCTCAGATACCTTAGTCAGCATTCAGCGAGAGCTCTACTAGTCCATAGCTCCAAGGTAATGCAGCGGTTTCCCCTCAGCAGCTGCCCAAAACCAGGACTAAGGTTTCTACTTAAAGTTCAGGCAGTTTGTGGGGTGCCTTGTCCACACCTACCGATCCCACCAGTAACTGCAGCACCATCTCCCCAATTCCAGCTCCAGTCACCAGCACGGTTGTGGCACAGCCTGCAAAGAAACAGCACAAGTGATGCTGGGGCAGCCTGCTCTTCCCTGGGTGTCTCCATACAAATCAGAGTCCCAGCACAGTTTATGTTGGAAGGGACCTTAAAGCTCCTCCAGTCCCAACCCCTGCCCCGGGCAGGGACACCTTCCACTAGAGCAGGTTGCTCCAAGCCCCTGTGTCCAACCTGGCCTTGAACACTGCCAGGGATGGGGCAGCCACAGCTCCTCTGGGCACCCTGGGCCAGGTTTTCACGCTTCTGCATCACTGCCCCAGAGCCTGAGGTTGGCAGAAACCTCCTGTAAGAGCGGCCAAACTCTACTAATCTGGATGATGTTTTCAGACCTGGCTCCTGGAAGCCACTAAAGGAGATGTTCCTGTCAGTCCCCGGGAGCCCTAAAGCTCCAGGGAACCAAGAACCAGGCTGGAGCTCTGCCTGCAGAAGTCATCAGGCCACTGGAGCCGGGACTGTGCAGTGTGGGTTGTGAGTGCAAGCTTGAATAAACACCGTGCTCAAACCCAGAGCTCCCTCCAGGCCTCCAAAGCATCCCCGAGGATGGAGGGAAGGAGGTGCTGCCTCTGGGCTTGAACATCTGCCTGCTCCCAGCGCCCGGTCCCTGCTCACCTCTGTACTGCAGGATGTCCTCGGTGTAGGCCAACATGCTGGGGAAGGTGCTGCTGAGGAACAGCCCCAGAGACGCCGTCCCCACAAACAAGAAGACGACGCTGTAGGAGAAGATGAGGAGCAGGAGGAAGGTTATCAGGACTCCAACCTGCAACAACACGCACGGAGTCAGGAGAAGGCTGAGCTGCAAGAACAGGAGCTGGACTGTATTTTAATGTAGAAAATAGTCTGGAAAAGGAAAACAAATGCTGGAAAAACAGATCACAATCTGAGAAACTGAAGAAACCAGACAAAGAAAAGCCTTTACAGCAAAGAAGCCCTGTTATAACAGGGCTTTAGAACATAATGTGCTACTTAGGCCTCATCTTCATTAGGTAGAGACTTAAAGACTCTTTCTGAAAAACTAACTTTTTCTCTGCAGCTTTAACTACAACAATTCTGCCACTTCCAGAATAGTCACGTCTCGATCACTGATAAATCCATTTGAGCAGGGTAAGGAATGAACTCGCTCAGAAACCAGGCACAGCAGCAAAGCCAAAGAACCAGCTGCCTCTGAGCACTTGCCCTCACATCTGGCTTGGACCAGCACCAGCAAAACCATCCAAGATGCACCATCCAGCACGGCAGAGTCACCAGAGGGAGCTCTGCAGCACCAACACGTCCCTTCCTCACTGTTCAGGCCCCGATGATGGGGGGGTGCGCACACCAGAGCAGTTTGGGTTCCGGAGACGCTGAACTGCAGCTCTGTGATGCTGATCTGTACCTCCCTATGCAGCAGCGCTACTGAGCACTGCACAAGGGGCTCGGCCACAGGCGAACGATGGTGCTACCACCCTTGGCTTTAAGGGGACACGCGGCAGCTTCCAGCCAGGGCTGGAGATGCAGCGCTGCTGCTGCTCACCCGGCACCGCGCTGCAGCGGGGGCTGCGCTCGCTGTAAACCAGCCCCAGCGCATTTGGCTGCAGCTGCTGGTGCCCAGGCTCAGGCTTTAACGTGACCAGAGCAAAGCGCCCACCCGGCGGCCTCGCCTGGCTCCTGCCCGTGGAAGGCATCAGCCTGACTCCAGAACAGCCCCACGAGCGCTGCGGCCCCTGCTCTGCGCCACCCCCTTGGCTGTTCTTGGCTCTGCACTATTACCTGCGAAACCTGCCACGGAAATAGCTTCTGCTTCTAACAACTTGTACATTCGCTGCCTTCTCACTTGGTTCCTTTCTGTGTGCGAGAAGCGTGAATGGGCACAACTCCCTCCCTGTTGGCTGCCACATCCTGACATGCATCTTCCTCACCTATCCTGAAAGGGTTCCTTCCCCTTCCAAGTGAATGTGTTTGGTTAAGTTAAGAAGCACCACATCACAGTGGCTTTTTTTGCACCACATCACAGTGGCTTCTTTGCCAGCTCCTACAGTACAAGTAGAGAATTTACTGACCTCTGCCTTCCCTTTCCCATGGCTGACACGGGCATTAAGCTCCCTGTCGCCAGAGCACGTAACGTTGGCAGGCACTTCTCAAGGTGCTTTCACAAATCTATGTTTAGATTAACAGAGGATTGCTCAGCAAAGCAATGCAGTAAGTGCCAAGCAAGCCTTGGCTCCCTCATGCACTGCATCAGCTCCAGGCGTGCAGAGGAAGGCTTCACCCTAGCTATGCACAAGAGTGGCTGCAACTCTGCACATCGACACCAAAGCCAGGCAGCATCTCGGAGGTGAGCAGAATTAGACCCGCAGTAAAACCAGCCTTACCACATTGATGAAGACCATGGTTGCTGGCTTCATTCGGTAGGACACGGGGATGGAGATGAGCCTGCCCAGCGTGATGAACCCCCAGAAGAGGCTGGGCAGGTCCCCGGCCACTTTGTGCACTACAGAGAGCGGCTCCTCCACGGCGTAGCTGTAAACGAAGCCCGAGTACTCTCCCTGCAGGGAAACACACGAGCCCGTCACGGCGCTGTGATGACTTCCAGGCTTTGCCCTCAGTTATTCCCAACACTGTGCCAGTGCTGGGGAGCCCACCTATGGATGTGCTACCGAACCGCAGTGAGCCTTGTTCCCAAGGGCTGGCAGCTGGAGACAGGCTTCCTCCAAGTAGAACACAAGAACACAAGGCTTCAGCTCTCCTAAAGGGCAAGACTTACACTATTACTGGTAAAACGCATGCTCAGCTCTTAATTGTAGAGATGCTCTCGTCTCTAGGGACTGCCTTGTCCTTTTGGAACTGTACACGCTCAGACACACCACATTAAGAACCTGGAGTTGATCACCTTGACGATGGAGGCCCTGGAGAGCTCCTGTATCTGACAGCTACTGCGTGTAACCCTGCTCCTCTCTTAGACTCTACTTCATGTCCTAGTAAGACCCAGCAGTGTTTTACCATGAGCCAAAGCTGTCAAAAGACAAAGAGCAGCATCTCGCCAGCATCTTCCTCACCCGGACACGAGCGCTACACACAGTGCACCCGGCCAGGGCCATGCTGCTGAGCCACTGCCAAGCCTGCACCATCCCCGTGTGCTCCCAGCTTGGGTTTGGAGGGCTCGGGAGACCCATGGAACAAAGAGCCACCATTTGTCATGAACTAAAATGAAGCAGTTCTTGCCTCTTGGCTGAAGTGAGAAGAGAGCTCCACTGTGTACAAGCAGACAACACCACAGCTCTGAACTGGTTGGGTTAGTAGCAATCTAGCCTAGAACAGAGCCTAGAACACAGGAGAAGCCACAAAACCCTCCCGAGAAGCAGGACATGTATCAGCCTGACTGGGATTAGCTTTATGGGCTGTTCTAAGTGGTTGGGAAGGAAGAAAGCCACAGAGCTTTGCTCAGAGAAGATCCCTCTATCAGCTGAACTCACCACAATCCCATCAGTCATGAAGAGAACAAGAGCCCCAGTGATGTGGACTGCGAAGTAGGTGTAAGAAGCCCCTCTGAAGTTTTTGCTTTGGCAGCAGCTAAATAAGTCATCATGACCTGGTGAAAAACAATGCAAAGCAAACTTAGCTGGAACATCCCCCTGGGGCTGGGTGGTTGCCAGCCCACGGTGGGGGTTTTTTGTGCTCAGCTGCATGACAGAGACTCACAGAGGACCAGGAACAACAGTGGAGCGCTGGTAACCTCTACTGGCACCACCTCTTGCTTTACCTACCTCTAAGCTTTCACAAGGAAGATGGACTCGGTTGTGGGCCACAGACCGGGATCCTGACTCTCCAGGGTATTTGCTACTTCTCTTTCTGTGGCTGCTTGTGCTCCTCTTCCCATTTAGGAGCTCCACATTGCTCTTACAGTCAATAGAAACAAGCCCATTTGACCACAGCACTCGTGCTCAGAGCCCCTTGTCTTTGGTAGCACCACACAGGACACGTTCCTCAGCTAAATGCTATTTACACCCAAACAAGCCAACTTTGGCAAAGAGAGTGAGAACACGCAGCTCGTGTCACCTCCTCGGAACAGACCAAAGCTGGGGCTCAGGACCCCTGGAATTCCGGACTCTCCCATCCTCCTGCTTCTGTCACCCCACTCTGGGATGTGCAAAGGGCTGGTGTTCAGGAGTCCCGTGCAGGGGAGATGCTCCTGCATGGCAAAGATGAGTCCTCGCTACTCATCTGGGGAAGGAGGGGTTTTGCCAGCACAGACGTGTCTGTCAAGGATGGCAGCATTCCCCACACACCCTGCTTCTCAAAGGATTCATCCCAACTGCTTTTAAGAGGAAGACCGAGATATGAAGAACATGAAGCTCCAATGGGTTGTATGGAAACAGGCAGCGGGGTTGAGGAAAGGAACCTTCAGGGTCTTGGCTAAGGGAAACACTATCGGATGAGCACAACCTTACCAGACAGCAGAGAACCCATCGAGTCAGGGACACCCGTGATCCTTCCCTGCAGCACCTCACCACATCTCTAACTGCCTCCACCTTCAAGTATTCCCTAAAATTCCCTCTTATTGTCCAGGTAAAGCCATTGCTTCCGATAACCCTAAACCATGAGTTTACTCTGATAGGTTTCTCCTGGGTAGCAAAGAACAACGTTACTGTCCCCAGAACAGGGGGTGGTCACAAGTTCAAGAGCAAACTCTCGCTGGAGTTTAACTTCTCCCCTCAAAGGCACTGTCCTCATTCCTCTCACATTTATCCACCCCAGCATCTTGCAGCACGACGGTTACACCCCGCAGGCAGCTCAAAACCTGACCCAAACCCACAGGGGCACAACTTCCATGTGTGCGTAAGGTTGAGTTTGAGGACAGGCTGGAGGAAAGCAGCCTGGAGCCCCAGCAGCAGGACACTGACCTCTGCTCATCAGGGGTCCCCCCTAAGGGGAGGGTAACTGGGCACCAAAGCGGGTGCTCCGGGATCGCGTTCACGGGCACGTATTGGAACGCTCCCTCTCAGCCAACAGGCGCGTGTCACCTGCTGCCCCCCAGACCCAGCTC